CCCCGCCGCCCCAACAGGGCGAGCGCCTCAGGCCTGAGGCGCTGGAGATGAAGGTGTAGGCCCCGTCCTGGCCCGCCGTCCTCCTTGCTTCGTGTTTGCCACCGCCTCTTTAAAATAAAGACCCTGCCGCCATACCTAGGAGCCCGCCAGCAGTTTGCGAGCCCCGGTCGGTGTCCTTTGAGCGCAAATCGTCGTCTCACCTCCCTGACGAGTGGGGAGCTGGGCCTGCCCAGGTTGGTTGGGAAGGGTGTTGCTGGATGTATCGTAGCCATTTTAAAGGTTTCTTTTGTCCAGGCGTTTTCCTTCACAGCCTGCTGCAAGCTGATACTCTGTTTTGTATTCCACGCAGTAAATGAAACAACGTTGAGCTTAACTATGAATGAACACACAATTCCTAGTTGTGACAGCCTTTTAAAAACCCATTTTCCACACTAAATCCTTAAGTGCCTTCCACAGGCACTGTCTGCAATAGCCTAAGGAGTCTGCAGAAGTGTATTAAATAGGTAGGATAAAACAAATTCATTAAATGGGCAGGATAATTGGGAAATGCTTCTGAGTGGTTTGGAGGAGTAGCAAGTGCTGCCAAGTGACAGCTTTTTTTATTATCGGAGAGGTACACAACCTGTTTAAGCACCCCATCATGACAAACATGCAGCCAATACCTCTTAAAAATAAGGCTGAGAAAGGGGTGTGCAAGAGGTGACCGGGCTTGTGCTGTATAGGCAGACAGATGCTCAGCTGCTGCCGGTTTAGATCAAATGCAGTGTTCTAAAAGCAAAAGCACATCTGGAGTCATGCAGAGCACAGTTGCTGCAAATTAAGCGCAGCGTGGCTTTGTGCAGGATGCAGTGCTGGAACTGGCAGTCCTGTGGGCTTCCAGGTTTTATGAGGACTTTTTCCATGTTTGTGCTCCTGGAAACAAGGCAAAAAAGGGGCGGGGGGAAGACTTTTTATGACCCAGGGGAGCGGGAAATGTGCCAGGCAGCTGAAGGCCAGTGAATTCAGGCCAGCGACCTGTGCCAGGTTATTTTTATGCACACTACAATGGTGCCGCTGAATTCCCAGGCCCCCTTGTCTGAGGGGTCAGAGCGTGGGTTACCTTCAGTTTCTGGGTGCCACCGCGTGGTGCGACAGCTAACTGCACCCGTCCCCGCAGTGGGTGTACGCCACCTCTCCCACGCAGGTCAGACTCCAACCACCACCGCTTTGAGGCTGCAGAACCACAGAGTGGGGGCGGCAGCCCAAAGTTGTGCTCGTTGGCTTTTCCTGGACCTCGCCGCCTTCATCCGCCGTCAAATGCGTGCGCAGTTGCTGGCTTTGTGCCCTGGGAAACTCCAAGACGCCCTTCCTAACTCAGTTTTGCTCCCTTTTTTGTTCTTTCAGGCTGGGACGGAGTGAAATGGCAGCCTCTTCCTCATCCTCTTCAGCCGGTGGAGTCAGTGGCAGTTCTGTAACAGGATCGGGGTTCAGCGTTTCGGACATGGCCTCACCCCGAAAAGCCCTCTTCACTTACCCCAAAGGAGCCGGGGAGATGCTCGAAGGTGATTGCTCCTCTGCCCTTCCCCTTCCCTGCTCCTCCTGCTGTGCAGGCAGCCCTGCAAGGGAGTTTTCAGGCTTGGCACCCTGCTGCCTTTTGGGCTTTAGCTGGCAAAAGCTGGAGGGAGGAAGGAAGCTCCAGGGCTTGGCTAGGTCCCGAGCAGCCCCAGCTCTCCCACCACTTGTTCATGAGGAAGTGATTTTTCTGGCAGTCACCTGGTTTTTAGCTCCATGACAACACTCCAGACGAGGAAGCAAGCGATCTACCTGAAAGGGAACATGACTGTGTTAATTGCTCATTGTTAGCTAATCCTTTGATGTCGAGCAGGAATTACTGTAAAGATAGCTGAGGCAGGAGTATTTTTCTTGGCAAAACGCGTTCTGGGGTTGGAGTTGATTGGGCCAGTGCAGAAGGCAGCTTATATCCCTGCTGGCCAGGAAACATAAGGCTTACTTTTGCCCTTGACCCAGGTTAAAACCTCGCCGCAGAGGTCTGTGAGAGGATAAATCAGGACTAGACTTCTTTTTTAATCCTTCGAGGCTGAGCCCGTTCCCCTTTTGGGCTCACTCTTGTTGGGGCATTTCTCCAGGGCTGCCTGGAGTGGGTCAGGGCTCCGATCCAGCGCGGCATCTTGCCTTTTGTGTGCCCGAGCCCTGCCGCCCGCTTCGTTGGGGTTGCCTGAAGGACTCAGGCACGTCACAGCTGCACGTCCCTGCCCCTCCTCTGGGTGAGGGAGGAAGGGCAGGTCCTCCAGATGACGGGGTCGGTCTGTCTGATTGTCTGTCTGCTCCCCTTGAACTTCCTGTGTCGCCACACCGCGCACTTGACTGTGTGAGCCTGAAGTTCATCGGGGTGGCCCTGCAGCTCAGAAGTGACTGCATGCTGGTAGAGACGAACCCGGCAGCGCAGGGCAGCCGGGAACTGATCGCTACATCTTTTAAGGACTGTTTTTATTACACATTAGAGCCCATATGCCTGCCTATTGAAGTAATTATGACTAAAGGCTTGCTCATAGAACTTAACAAGCCCTCAAAACAAATTAAAATAATGAAGCACTTCTTGTTACCAAATAGACAGACAGCTGTTCCTCCTGAGAGCCACTCGGCAGGACGGCCAGGCTGGGGAGTCAGAGGAGAGGGAAGAGTATGTTTGGAAATAGCTCGGGGCAGCACCAACACAGCGTTTCAACAGCTTGTGAGAGGATACTCTGAGCACAGCGAAACTCCGACTCTTCCTTCTTACCTGGGGTCAGCTTCAGATTAGATTTTCCAGGGTCAGGGGTCTGTTTCTACCCTTAGTCTTTAAAATTCCTCTCTTCCTCATTTTTTACGGCATGGAGCTTTTACTTGATTTTGCTTTGGGCTGACCTGTTTACCAGTAACACGGCAGTTCGTTTGCTCTGGCTGACAGCGACAACTAAACACTGTCCCTGTCGCAGGAAGCTTTAAGTTGGCTTTTTAATTTCTGAGATTAAAAGTGATACGCCCGTTCTTTTGTCAAGCAGGTGCTAGTGGGGTAGCTGCAGACCAGCTTCCCCTTCAAAAATCCCCACTAACTGAATGATTTTTATTGTTTCTCTCTCTCTCTGATTTTTAAATAAAACCTTATTTTAGGGTTTTTTTTTAGAAGTAGTATAAACTATGGCAGTACTTGGCACACAATTAGCCACGTATTCCAGATTGCTTTATTTCTGAGACCATTGTGTGATCAATTATTGATTTAGATGGCAAGATACACATTATTCAAAATCCTTTATGCGGGGTTATGGTCGAAGCCTGTGGGAAATCATAAAGCATTATAAGGACACAAGCGTCTGAGCCCCGAGGGAAGCGGAGACTGCCGTAATATTAGCTGGCTTCTCCTTAGCTTACCTTCTATTTAAAATGGACTAAACTTGCTTGACAGAGGGGATGTAGCAGAATATCAGCCGGGACATCTCCCAGGTAGCACAGCCATTCCCCAGCGGCACCGGGAGCCAGCCAAAACCCCACACAGGATTTGAGTCCGGGGCTGTATGGGCTGGAAACCGTAACGCGGCATGCTCGGCCCAGGGGAAAGTGTCGGAGTAGGCAAATGGGGAAACCCACACCTCAAACGTAAAAATAGAAGGTCGGCAGCACTCAGTTAAGGCTGCTCAGTCTTAAAACTCTCAGATTAAACCACCTCCTTTTTTCTGTTTACAGATGGCTCCGAAAGATTCCTCTGTGAGTCTGTCTTCAGCTATCAGGTTGCATCTACGTTAAAGCAAGTGAAACACGGTAAGCACCGAAACGCCGTCTCTTTTAACTGCGTGTTGATCGGGGAAGATGGCAGGGGAGCGCGGAGAAAAGGCTGACATGCTCTCAGGTGCCAACCACAAAAAAGCAGAATAGCCTTTTAAGTTGGCGAATTAACGCTAAGTCAGACCATCATCGAGTCCTTTTGCAAGCCCTATGCAAAGCGACGGGAACCCACACAGCCTGGGTGGGAACAGGCTGTGCCTTTCGAAGCTTGTTTTTCCATCGCTGTGTGCCGCGCTGCCTTCACGAGAGAGGTGAGGCCAGAAGAGGAGGTTATGGGCAGGAAACGCCCACGCTCTGATCTTGGCCCAGCGCTGACTGTCTCTTCGGCCTCGGGCAAAGAGACACCTGATTCCACCTTTGTTTCTCTGCTGAGCGCTAGTGACACTGGCAGGGTCAAGCCAGGTTTCCGAAGGTGCTCAGGAGATGACGGACGCGCAGGTGCCCGGTGTGGCGTGATGGGGCTGACTCCACTCCCTGCCTCCCCAGGAAAGAGCCTTCCGCCTTGTCTGAATTTCTGCTTCCCTCCCGCGGCCTTCGCTCGCCACACAGGTGCCTGTAACTGAACGATGGGCTCGACTGCGCGGCAGCTCGCGTTCTCAAGACGTTGGGCTGAGCTCAGCACCAGCCCGCGTCTGCTGCTCAAGGGTCACATCCTTTCTGGTCCCCGCCTCTTGTGAGCTAGAACGGGTGCTTCCACGTGTTGTCTCAGATCGGAGAGGTTTCCTGTCCTCCGCCAGCGAGAGTTGCCAGGAGGAGGTCTGGGGGGTGTGCAGCAGCTTGCAAGGCAGTGATCCTGTATTTCTGAACCAAAAACCAAAGCTGAACTTCAGAGCCATTATTTCCATGTCTCCGGCACTACTGCGGCTGTAGTTACTGGGGACCGCTGCACAGACTGGTGCCCTGATAAGCACCAGCCTTTGAAACTGGATTGTGGAGCGCCAGTCGCCTCCCTGTAAGAAAGGCGAAAGGCTTAAAAAAAGATGGAGGTCATCATTTTTTGGCTTGTTTGTTTGACAGTTACCAAAAGCGCTCGGTTGCAGCAGGTAGAGTGAGAACAGTCCCTCTTAAAATCATCCACTGCTGCAGTCAGCATAAATCGTGTGCATTTTATGTTACGCCTCTTGTTAGTAAGTTGGCTCGTACTGGGCTGTTTTTCCAAGATGCCCCGCGCTGTTAAAACTTCCAGCAGAGCCAAGAGAAGAAGGGCTGCGCTCATCTCCGTACCACTGCAGCTAATTTAATTGAAAATGGAGCCTGCGTGCCCAACGCACAACCGGTTTTGAATAAAGCTGAGAGAAACAAGTTGTCTTGGGGATCCCCTGGGAGGCAGCCCATCTCTGCGTGGGGACCTCCGTGTCATTGTTCTGATTGCGGAGCCTTCCTGCTACAGTCATCCAGGTCCTCCTCAAAGGACCTTCGTTAAAACGAGGAGTTCCTCGCGCTGCACCCAGCTCTACCGTGGGCTGACCAAGCCCTCTCTGAACTTCTCTGTTCTTTTGCGCTATAAATATTTATGCTAAAGAAATGAGCTTCATCCTGTTTTCACCCCCATACGCTAATCGGCCTCGTGTTTCCCTGTTAGGACTTGAATTTACACGGCACGGGCAGGGACGGGTAAATACACATTCAGCGGTGGACGAGGCAGAAAAGCCTGTCCCTGCTTTCTCCTGTGATCTGGCGAGGTCTCGCCGTTCGCACA